TCGAGATGTAGTCGTGACTACGTAACGCACAATATTCAGGGTGCAGGGTCTAGTCGAGTTAAGGTCACGCACAATATTCAGGGTGAGGGGTCTAGTCGAGTTTAGGTCACGCACAATATTCAGGGTGAGGGGTCTAGTCGAGTTTAGGTCACGCACAATATTCAGGGTGAGGGGTCTAGTCGAGTTTAGGTCACGCACAATATTCAGGGTGAGGGGTCTAGTCGAGTTTAGGTCACGCACAATATTCAGGGTGCGAGTTTTGCAGGCGCTATGTTTGGCTCTCGCGTCGCTGTAGCGGCGACGCGCTGGCGCCAGCGGGTGTCGTGCGACCCAATGCTTCTCAGCTCGCACCGCTGCTGCTGCTGCTGCTTCTCAGCCGTACCGCTGCTGCTGCTTCTCAGCCGTACCGCTGCTGCTGCTTCTCAGCCGTACCGCTGCTGCTGCTGCTGCTCCTCAGCCGTACCGCTGCTGCCGCTGCTGCTTCTCAGCCGTACCGCTGCTGCTCCTCAGCCGTACCGCTGCTGCCGCTGCTGCTCCTCAGCCCGCACCGCTGCTGCTGCCGCTGCTGAATTAGACCAATTAGCCCTCAGGAGAAACAGCCGGCGATCGAATGGCCTAGCATCGTCCGCCGTACCGCGAAAAAATTCTGCACCACTCGGACGTAGCGCGCTGGAGCCTTGCTGCAAATGTGATATCCGCCATACCAAGCCGTCCGTATCTAGGCCGTGCGTCGAACCAGCCCTCGGTCGAACGCCCACTCGACGAAGGACGATAAATTTTAGAACATAACTATGCTATCTGAATCCTAACCTCAGATGCGGTGAAGGTAAAATTACGTAATTTAACGATGCCCGGAAGTTATATTCGATCCGCGGTCTGGTGGTGCACGGCAGGTTTTATGCAAGGCAGGAGGACGACAAAGCCGAGTGGTCGCAGGCTGTTGCGCGCAAGTTCCAGTTCGAGCGGTGGCCAAGGTATGAAGTGTGCTTCGACGCAACGTTCAGTGAGGGACGGCCATTCGACTCTAGGCGGTTCGACCTCGTGTCTGGGGGGTGTAGAGCTCTAAATATTCAAAGCAGAATGATGTCAAGGGTCGGCTACGGATAGCAGGTTCCATTCACGGCTAAATGGTGGATGTCCGGAGAGATCCGAGGCGTTCGATTCAGGGCTTATTGGTGCACAAAATTGGTGGTGCACGGCTGCGCTCCCGGAACGATCTTCACAATCTTTAAATACGATTGCGGTTGGTAAAGAAGCGTGCTATATAGAGCGCTCATAATTATGGACAAATATCTGTATCTAAACTAAATGGGCGCCGGCTGGATATAATGGTTTGGAGGCGGCCAGACTAAATGGTCGTCGGATTGACATAATGGTTTGGAGACGGGCAGACTAAATGGACGCCGGTTTCATATAATGGTTAGGAGGCGGCCAGACTAAATGGACACCGGTTTGATATAATGATTAGGAGTCGGCCAGACTAAATGAACACCGGTTTGATATAGGTAATGGTTAGGAGGCGGCCAGACTAAATGGACACCGGTTTGATATAATGGTTTGGAGGCGGCCAGACTAAATGGTCGTCGGATTGACATAATGGTTTGGAGACGGCCAGACTAAATGGACACCGGTTTTATATAATGGTTAGGAGGCGGCCAGACTAAATGGTCGTCGGATTGACATAATGGTTAGGAGGCGGCCAGACTAAATGGACACCGGTTTGATATAATGGTTAAGAGGCGGCCAGACAAAATGAACACCGGTTTCATATAATGGTTAGGAGGCGGCCAGACTAAATGGACACCGGTTTGATATAATTGGCCAGACTAAATGGACACCGGTTTGTATAATGGTTAGGAGGCGGCCAGACTAAATGGACACCGGTTTGATATAATGGTTAGGAGGCGGCCAGACAAAATGAACACCGGTTTCATATAATGGTTAGGAGGCGGTCAGACTAAATGGACACCGGTTTGATATAATGGTTAGGAGGCGGCCAGACTAAATGAACACCGGTTTTCGTCTGTCTGCCTTAGCCGTTCTAGTCCATAGAAGGTTAGGCTGCGCGTGCGTCCAGACACTGGCGTGCGCTCTAAATCTGGCGGACCAAATCTCAATATTTATCTTCCCCGCAAAGAGCCTCACAAACAATGTCCTTTTACAAAAACTCGATTCCCTCAACTCTTGACTGTGTATTCGCGCAGAAATATATCTCACAAGACATTTAACGTTGAATCAACATTGAACTCGACGTTTTTTTTCGTTGAATCAACGTTAATTAAACGGTGTTTCAACGTCATTCGCGCAGGAATATGTATATAAATGAGGTGACCAGCATGAGTCTTGTGTGGCCAGTACAGAATAGTAATTTATTTCTTCCAAAGTTAAATTGCAATTTAGTAAATCGAAACGAATGTTATTGCACCACAAACGTCATCTTTACGATGAACGCTTGTATTTTTATGCTTTGATGTAATGACGAATCTACGCTCTGAGGTAATTCATCGTCGATTCCTTCAATATTGTTTTATATAATAAAATAAAATACAGGTAAGTACTTGTATCCCCGTCTGTTTTTTTACCGGTAATTTTGATAATTCTATCCATCTTCTCTTGCCACTAGAAATGAGTTAAGTTTTGTGTTTGCAAGGTTATTCGGCACCTCGAAGTGTAGACACTCCACTTTTGTGTTGGTGCCTCACCAGGCAAATTGAAACTTTGAAACAACTTATATTGAACGAAATAAATGTTTAATTCAAAGTCAAATGTCTGGTGAAACGTAGACCATGTAGTGTGGACCGCGCACGCTCAGAAGAATGATTATGTCATATTTTACAAACATTAACGCACTTTATACACGTTGCACTGATACTCTTGCCTGGCCAAATTCAACCAGGATGATCCAGACAATGACAGTGCATCCTAATTTGGACAAAGTCTCGCTCATTCTCGTGAGTGCATGGTTGCACAAAATGACAGTGCATCCTAATTTGGACAACGTCTCGCTCATTGCCGTGAGTGCATGGTTGCACAAAATGACAGTGCATCCTAATTTGGACAAAGTCTCGCTCATTGCCGTGAGTGCATGGTTGTTGCTCTGCCAGGAAGCACCCAAGAAGGTGTAGCCGTGGCGCCGGATCCTTATAAGCAGCGTTGCATGGCGGGACCGCGGCGCCTTCTTCTTCTCGTTTGTTTTTTATTGTCGTCGTTGCGACTGCAATGCCAGACGTTCTCCTGCGGTTCCTGTAAAAACGTCTCGTGTGTTTTACCCCCCGGCCGCAGCCTGTGTTTTGTGCGTGCGCTGTATGTTTTATACTCGTTTTTATAACCTATGTTAAGATAATCAGATCCTAGATTCATTGTTTTCTGGTTATCCCTATCCCCGTTTTGTACTTGATATTCAGATAATAAGACTCTAGGTTCAGATTATTCAGATTGTCCTTATCCACGTTTTATACCTGAAATTCAGATTATCATATTCCAAGTTGTGATCCAGATTATCCGTGTTGCGAAAACAGCTGCTCGGATATTATAATGTGTGCTATTAATTCATTGGCAAACATGTTTAGTTCTTCATTGTGTTTATGCTTTCTCTCATGAGATATGTATGTGCATTTTTCAATCTTTCGGGGACTCTGTGTCTATTCTACCGAAAAACGTCCGTTTTCATGCGTCTTGGTAGATGGAAATTAATGAATATAATATTTTTATTGATATTCTAGTAAAAAAATTTTTAGCCTGTGTATCTTGATCTCATCCTGTGCCTTTTTTCTGCACCTGAGTTATTTTTGGCCTCTGCTGCATTATGTCGACAATCGCAAGTTTTGGCAAACATTCCGTATCAAAGCGGATAGGGAACTGTGTGTGTGTTTGTACCCTGTACAAACACCGCCTAGACTTTACACTTTATGTAGGTCAAGTCTCATCATCGCACTATTGTTGAAGAATATTTAAATAAATTAAAGCTAACAAAGACAATTCCTTTACACTGACTTCGAGTGTTGGTCACATTTCGACGTCGATTCAACATTTAATTTTGGTTGATAAATTTTTCAACGTGAAATCAACGTTGTTTAAACGTCAGACGCCTACATGGTTTATTCCAGCAGCAGCGCACCTGCATTGCCTGCCGCATTCGCGCCGTGAAAACGTCGGCGCCAGAAGAGGCGCCACGGAAGCCAACCACTCTACCCTTGTCCTTGTGGAGGCTGTGCAGTCTACAGTTGCTGCAGCTGCTGTTGTCTACAGTTGCTGCAGCTGCTGTTGTCCACAGTTGCTGCAGCTGTTGTTGTCTACAGTTGCTGCAGCTGCTGTTGTTGTGTACAGTTGCTGCAGCTGTTGTTGTCTACAGTTGCTGCAGCTGTTGTTGTCTACAGTTGCTGCAGCTGCTGTTGTCTACAGTCTACAGTGACTGCAGCTGCAGCTGCTGTTATTGTCTACTGTGGCTGCGGTTGCTGTTGTTGTCTACAGCTGCTGCAACAGCAACTGCAACAGCTGTTGATGTGTGTACCGACGCTTCAGCTGGAGTTGTGTCCCCATAGCTGCTGCAACAGCTGGTCTTTCACCGTCACTGTGTTCATTCGCGGCAGCTGCGTTTGTTGTCTTCTCAGGTGCCGCAACAGCTGGATTTTGTACAGTTTCTGCAAGTGTTTTCCTTATCGTCCAGTTGCTGCAGCAGCTGTTGTTGTCTTTGCAGTTGCTGCAGCAGCGATTGTTGTCTTTGCAGTTGCTGCAGCAGTTGTTGTTGTCTTTGCAGTTGCTGCAGCAGTTGTTGTCTTTGCAGTTGCTGCAGCAGCTGTTGTTGTTTTTATATTAATTTCAGCAGATTTTTCCGTGTGCGTGGATGTTTCAGTTATTTTTTAATTTTGTTTTCGCTGTTAATGTCTGCTCTTGTCGCTGCAGCCGCTTATGTCATTTTGCTTTCATATCGATTATTACTTGTTTTGTTTTCTCTCAGCGTTCAATAGTTTTGTTAACGTCATTTTTTTTATCTTTCACAGACTCTCCCCCACCCCCCTACAGAGAACGCCCCTCCCCTCACGATCGCCTCCACCCCCGCTCCGACGAAGACGGTGAGATTGCAATACGTGATTCATATTTACTCGTGTTTTGCATATTGATCGAAAAAAATTCTGACTGATCTAAGAAAAATATGAGCACTGTTCTGGGAGGTGGCCAAACACCTCATCATAAGAGACATTTCATCAGTACAACAGTTCATCTATAATTCTTTTCATCGTCATTGAATAAAGTGTATTTTGCAAACAAGAGCACATGTATGTAGGTGTACTCAAGTTACTAATATTGCGAGAAATTCTGGCAACATGTTGAAGCAGGTTAGGTTATGAAAGAAGGTATCTTGACGATGAAATACTTTAATGATGAATTGCGATACTCATGAAATGTGTCAGTTGCAAATTGCTGTACTCAAGAAATGTGTCGATGAAATATTTCGTATAATGAGGTGTCAGGGAACCATTTAATGGAAAAAAAATTGGCACTAATTTGATAGGTATCGCCAGGTTATAAGCTAACTGGCATTTCGTTTCATTTTTAATTGATTTTCTTGTTTATATGCATACAATTTATGACCAGAGAATGCATTTTAATTTTATAGTAGTCGAACAATGCTTTATATTACGTTGGTATATGAAGAAGAGGCAGGTTTAGTAAGTAATAATATCCCTAATAATATCCAAGCTGTTGAAATGAAATGTTGAAAATGTTGTTGTTGAAACAGGCTTGGTGACACCCTTGACAATAACGTCATTATACGCAACAATTGCCCCTGCCAAAGAGCGGAAATTCTCTAAGAGGCCGGTGTAGCCTATAAATTTTGCTTCAAAAAAGGTTGTAGACTTCATCATTTGGACAAGATTGGAGTAATTGAACCCCAGCTATCTATTTCCAAACTATCGGATTTGTCTAAACTTTGTTTGTGGAGGGACTTCTGACTCGAACTTTTTGTGTTGTATCCTATTTACATGTATTAGGTCCGAGAAAATTTCATTATTCAATGCTTCTCCTAACTTGAAAATGAATGTTGTTACATTCGAAACGTCGTTATTATATTATTATTACTTGCTAAACCTGCCTTTTGATCTGCCAACGTCATCTGAAGAATTGCTCGACTCCCTGAAAATTTTAATGCATTCTCTGGTCATAAATTGTACGCATATAAACAAGAATATTATGCCATCTAATAGTAATTTACTAATTAATGTATACGTTAAATCACAGTATTATGCATTCCGATAACATAATCAATTCATATCAATGACGATGAATTTTTGCACCGTGGAACTAACTGTATTGTTAACGTTTGCGTTGAATCACTTACTTCACGAATTATTTAGTCACGCTATTATTCTTTTACGACAAAATTAATGTCTTTAATAGTGTTCTAAATTGCTAATAATTTTATGTGTACTTTTCATTATTAGTTTACATTTCTCTAGCTGCGAACATTCCGCAAAAGATGTGCCAAAAACCGCACATTGCACGTAGATCATCATTGACCTGTATTGACTTTTAGGCATAAAATTCCTGTATGAAAAGTTTAAAGTGAATGTCGTGTAAGGTACTTATCTGCAGTATTGTTTGTGAATTGAATTTATTTTGTATTACAGAATATCAATCTCTTATCATTCTCTTAATGCTTCTTTTTTATAAACCTGGTTAATTTTTTAACCGTTAACAGACTTGACATCGTCAAAATTCTCCCAGTCATCCAGATACGAGTCTCAGGAAACCGGAGGCCGCGTTCCGACAAGTGAGTACAGAGCTCGAAGAAACGCAATAACTATTTCTCTACTATTCACTAATTCGGAGATTAAGGCGTACAAAATTGGGATTTTCCACTCTAGTCGATTTTATTCGAATTCGAAGATAAATCTTGTTGGTAATAACTGTGTTATGTTATACACAGGGACGTGTGATGATGTCTGTTCAGATGTCACAACAAAAGAAGTCAAATGTTTCAAGGGAGCGTCTGAAGGTCCTCTTGGTTTTGGTTCTTACATGCATAGACTGGCTGCACACTTGTCCTATATAAGGCCTCTCAGTTCCTACTTGACCTTGAATACGGGTTGTGTCCATGCGTCTTTGGTGCGTTGGTCATGTGCGCGGTTGTGTCCATGCGTCTTTGGTGCGTTGGTCATGTGCGCGGTTGTGTCGGTGTGTCTTTGGTGCGTTGGTCATGTACGCGGTTGTGTCGATGTGTCTTTGATGCGTTGGTCATGTGCGCGGTTGTGTCGGTGTGTCTTTGGTGCGTTGGTCATGTGTGCGTGAGTGGCCATGTGTCTTTGAATGTGTTTGAGTGTTACGTGTAAGGTTGTTACACTTTTAAAATTTCAACAGCGTAATTTATTAGGGTCGGTACAGGGAAGTGGATTTTTTTAGCTGTGCTTCTTGATAAACATGCTGTCATCCATGAATTATTTTTTATTTATTTTACATTATTTAGATTATTATTATTAGCATAGTTTTTATTCATATGCATCCATATTTACATTGCGCACTGCAACTTCAGTGATTACTTGAAAAACGTACGATACACTGAAGAGAACTCAGATTGTGCAAGGCTGCCACCACATAGCAGACCCTTGCGTTTGCATGCGTTCGTCAAAATGCTTGATCGTCTGCTCCTCGGCTTACCCTCTTAAGCTCTCATTTTTGACTCGCTAGAAATTGTTGAAGCTGTCAACTGAACTGCAAGTTCATTTAAGAAATGAAACGCGTTTGGCTATCTTTAATACTATTCACCTTATCCTACAATACAATCTAACTCCAGGATTTAAAGTTGCTTCCGCTTTTATCAATTTTACGAATGGATAGATGTGTTTCTTATTGAATCATCAACTCTGGATGTTGCTAATTATATTATCGATTACGCTGACCGACTAACTGTGGACTTTGGTAATTATTTTCATCAATTACGCTGACTAACTGTAAACCTCAGTAAGTATTTCTAATGAATACTCTGGCCATTATCATACGCATATCGTGATGATACGCGAGTGAAATAACGCCTCTTGTTTTGCGTATGCCGAAGCAGCAGCAGGCGCCGGCTATATGGTGCAGCTGGAGAGGTTGCGCCGCTTGCGTATGTCTCGGTTTGGCACTCGCGTCAATGCTGCTTATTCAAGGGACATTCAACTTACGTTTTTATGAGAGCTTTTTAAGATGCTTTTATGGGACCATTTTAAGATGCTTTTAAGTCTTGAGTTCTCAGAGGTTAAGATAGACATGGCGCCTCTGTGGCGCCTTACCTCTCACCGTCTACAAATACGCATTAAATCTTTAATTGATCGTTCGCAAGGCCTTTGACTGGCCTTCTTATGGTGTCGTAAGCATAATTTGTATATTGTTTGCGTATTGAACCTGTCAACTACTCGTAAATATAGCCACGACATTCTTGTTTATGTTTCTACGAATCTATTAAGCACTTGTTGTGATAGATTTGGCACCTAAAACTTTTTTTAAAGCGTTTAAAAATTATTTGATTGGCCCTAGATTTGTTAATGATTTTGATTAATCTTAATTAAAGAGAATAATTATGCAAGGATCGACACTAAACCTGTTTATTTTTCGAATGAGTTTTAAGCATATTTGAAAGCAGCATAATCTCAAGTTTTAAGCAAGTTTTATTTAGCGTTGCAGTACAACTACTGCGCTAAGAGGCTGAGGCTCTTATAGCATTGTGGTGCTACTGCACCAAGGAACTGAAACGCTTAGTATTGCAGTACTTTTACTGTACCAAGAGGCAGAGTTGCTTAGCATTGCAGTACTACTACTACACCAAGAGGCTCAGGGTCTTAACATTGCAGTACCACTACTGTACCAAGACGCTGAGGCGCTTAACATTGCAGTACCACTACTGTACCAAGACGCTGAGGCGCTTAACATTGCAGTACTACTGCGCAAAGGGCCTGAAAAGTGCAGAGCGCTCATCTTAATCTAACGTGATGATGTCAGGCTGTTTGGCTGACCTGCGAGCGCCGGCAGTGGCGCCTCTTTTTTTATATCGTGTTAGTTTATTCTGACGCAGCTGCCGCTTGCTTCAACATTTTACCTATTTCTCATGCACAACATTCCGTAGTGATGTGAGAATGTCTGTACCTCGTGTTTCTATGTATGAAATCTATTTTTATTTACGATCAGATGGAGCTATAAAGTTAAACTTTGTGACTTTTAAATGCGTCTTATAATCGTGTGCAGAAATAGAATTATATTAACTTGGATAACGTAATCTGCACAATGCATGAAATGTATTTTTATTGATACTGAGAAGCAGCTATCATTTTCAGCTTTGTGACTTTTAAATGCGTTTTAATCTTGTTGTATAATCTTAGCGTCTCCAGAAACGACAGATTCCTTCATTACAATTAGGGGAGTTTTTGTTACTGCATTTGGTATGTTCGTTATCAGTAATGAAATCAATTGAATATCTCGAGAAAGATGTTTGTAAACTGCCTCACGGATGCTTATATATAATTCATGAGCATTTGTCACTCGAGTACACGAAAACATATTGCCAGCCAAGTCGACGAACAGGTTCATTGCTCGACATGCCACAATAATGTCACTGTCGCTGCGGCGTGCAGCCGTACACTGATATGCTTCGGTGCCTTTGATTTACAACTATGTGCTATAGTAATTTAATAATTATTTAATGAACTTTAGATGGATGTCACAACTGTTGGCTGTAATAATGACTCGTGGATTTAGGATGGCGTTTATATGCTCGGATTCGGTCTAATTTTTTCTTCATTGTGGAATAAATAAATCTATGTTATCTTTTGAGAAATCAAAAATTGAACAATTCGACCTGAAAAGGTCATTTGAAATGCAAAAATTAACTCAACACAAAAGCCTCCTACTCTAAGACGGAATAAATATTCTCTGTTTATCTTTGGTATAATTCTGATCCAGATTTTAGAGTACGAAGATTTTGGAATGCGTTTTGACTCCTTATTTGAGTCCCCTTCAGCTTCACATCATTTAGTGGCGGCTAAGTTTCTCTCATCATTGAGATATAATGCCGGATGCCTAAATCGCCTTTTCTTATTGCCTTTGTTCCGGTTTTGCTCGGAACTGGAACCGCTATCAAGGCCATAAATTTGTCTTCGAAGTTGCCTTAGAAGAAATCTCTGATTTTCCCTGCACTTCGAAGGGATCGTTGCCGAGGAACGGAAGCTGGCCTAAACCCGGCCGCGGAAGAGTGCGTGGCACCGCCATCGTTACCTTGCGAGTGATGGCTCTGTTGTTCTCTGCGCCTAGTGTTCTCTTGTTCGCGTTATGTTCTCTTGCGATTCTCTTCAGAGTTGAGGAAATAATGTTATTGCAAGCGTTTTAGTTTCACTTCTTAAAGTAAAAAACTTGCGTAATTGCAGCGATCTGTAGTAACATTTAATATTTGTTTGTCAAGATGTAAAGACATTAAGTAGTCTTCTTCAAAATCCTTTTCACCATGGCAAATAATTTCATTCATTTATTTAAAATTTCATTTTCATTTGTTTTAAATAATCAGCGTTTCAAAATTCGTCAAGTAAACGCACGGCAATTATATTATGGGAAATTTTTAATTGTTTGAGTTCGTCCTCACAAGTCGAAGTTCTACAAAAAAAAAATTCTATTGTGATGATCTCTAATAGTCATGATATCATATCTATTCAATAATGCATGTATGACGCAAAAATTCTTTTTTGTAGGACGCAAAGTCTTTCTATTTTTATTTTATTGATTATACGGAATTTATTTATTTTCCGTTTAGCGTCATTCTTTTTCTAAATAGTTTCATTATCACCAGGTGCCACAGCCTGTATAGAACATGGATATAGAGGTCCTGATAATGCAGCTCTTCTTATCTTATCAAATGGCGCCTCCTATACACTATCTTGTCATTTCGTATTTTATTTATTGACTATTTGTTGAAATTTGTTTTGTTCCTGTCATCGTGCTAGGCTCTGGAATATTTTTGTTGTAGTTATTTTGGGGGTTTCAAATGCATATTTTTTTAGTTACAGGAGACGACGATTCCTTTCATGCAATCAAACTGACTTTTACATTTGAATACATTTTTAACAATTATTTTTTTATCGTTTCGGTTGCAACGTGTCACTCGATTGCCCCTTCTTCTTTGCCTCTGCGATTTAAGTACAATTGATCAGATGACTCGCAATACGCTCGATTTTTGCTCGACTGTAGTTTTAAAAACTTCAGTAATTCAATTGCTCTCGAGTATATATGATTTATAATTATAAATGCAACTTTTTTGTGTTTGAAGTGATTGGTTTAAAATTTCAAGATTGCCTAGTGAATGATCTTAAATGTGCTCGTAATTCAATTAAATTTGCACTGCATTGATACAAAATACGATTACTGTCGACGTAATGGCAGACGACTGACCACATACTAAACAACAGGATAGAGATATCTCTTCAAAATATTCATCATTGAAATTGATTTTCAAAATTGGAGTGCACACAGTCAATGATTACTCTGCTAGCAAGGGAAGTGAAGCGTTTTAGTTTGAGGGAGGCAATCATAGGTCATGATGGCAATGCAGCCGAGCTATTTGTGTAGTGGTGCATTAGTATGCGTCCTGGCGGTGAGAGAGAGACAGGCTTAGCGGGGAGTCCGTTACGCAGCACCTGGCGAAGGCTGCGCACTCTGGCGCCCCTCTAGCCATTCAAGCAGTCGCCGGCTACAGTGTGGCGCCACCGTCGCATTTTATTATACAATGTGGTCGCTCAGCGGGAAGCTTTCACA